TGTTGATAATTGTGCTAGCACAGAGTCATAGATCATCATGACTGAGGGTTTAAGTGTATTGCCCTCGTTCAAACTGCTGATCCCCACCTCCAGTTTATACACTCTTTCCCAAAATATTTTCTCAAGAATCTTGAGATATGTAAGAGCACCAGACCTGACTAGATATGGCAGCAATATTCAATGTGTGTATGAATGGTTGATTTATAAATGTGCAAGATTGATTCTGATGAGAAGACATGTTCATTTTAAAATCTTACCAATTTTCCTTGGGAAATGACTGAATAAATTCCAACAATTGCATTATTTTTCAATTACCCTTCCATTAAAACCTACAACTTTTCAGTTAATTATTTTCAGTACTTAATTTATTCTTGGCATTTGTGTTTGCTTCATTCCGGAAAAATATTAATAGCTAATGATTCAATAATTTATTTCCAGTCCAGCAGTCAGACAAAAATACAGATATGTACTAAACTTATTTCAGACAAGATGTTGGCACAGAAAGACTTCAGATATCAGCCTGAATTTCTTTTTAAATTCCCATAAGATAGCAAACATTTTACTTCAGTTTTTCAATGCATTTCAAGAAATATTTTAAATTTTGCTGTGTTATTTCTTCATATCCATTTCATCTGTCTTTTCCCTCTAAAAAGAAGTATACCCACTCTAAGAATATTTTGTTGGCTAGTATTTTGATATATGGTCATTGTTTTTATTTTATTTTTTTATGGGTCCAATATATAAAATTTAATTCGACTCTATAAATATATAGTATCTTATCTAATATTCTATGTGACTAAACATAACTATTTTCCCAATGTATAGATAAAATAATTAAGCTTTCTTTCATTCTCCAGTGAGTTCTAATTGGCAAATTCTATTTACCAAGATAGAATAGATTAGAACAAATCCCATTATTTTTCAAGTCTTTCCATTAAAAGATACAAATTTTTTAGTTAATAAATATAAAATAATTTAAATGTATACTTGACATGATTAATTTCTTTTTCCTTGAAAAATATTAATGTCGAGTGATGATTCATGGGTATCAAATCTTCCTTTATCGTTATAAAAATTGGTCGGTGATACCTGATGACAAATTCAAGATCTTTTTTTTTAAAGTTATATATCGTGGGAGGAAAATGTTGAATGAGTAAAAAAATTATGATTATTTTTTTATCTTTTAAATGAAAATCTCAGTTAAATTTAGATTTTGTATAAAACAGACAAGCTTTCATTTTAACAATCAACTGAGGTACATTGCATGATACTGTGTTGTTGATGCTCAGTTCAAAAATTATTTTGTATGACAAAAGGGTTCATTTCAACATCAACTGAGATATTTTGCTTGAAACTAGTAATAAAAATTAAGCTTCCATTTTAACTGTCAAGTGAGGTACATTGGTTGATACTGTATTGGTGATTCTCAGTTCAACATTATTTTGTATGTCAAATAAGAAACTTACAATTTGACAGTCAACTTGGGGTACATTGCTTGATGCTGTGTTAATGAGACTCAGTCCAGCATTATTTTATATGATAAAACGTAAGGTTTCATTTTAACAGTTAAGTGAAGTATACTTCTGGATACTTTGTTGGTAATGCTTTCTCCAACATTATCTTATATGATAAATAGTAAGCTCACATTTTAACAGTCAACAGAGGTAGAATTGCTGGATACTGTGTTGGTGAGGCTCAGTCCAACATTATTTGGTATGATAAAAGTAAGCTTACATCTTAACAGTCAAATGAACTACATTACTTGATGCAATGTTGGTGATGCTCGGTCCCACATTATTTTATGACAAAAATAATAATCTTTCATTTTAACAGTCAGCTGAGGTACATTGCTGGATACTGTGTTGGTGGTGCTTAGTCCAAAATTATTTTGTATGTAAGGTTTCAGGTTAACAGAAGTTTATAAATGTGTATAGTTTAAGCAATAACATACTAGTGTTGGGTTACCTCCTCCTAATTTTCAAAACTGATCTTAGGGGACACTCTCAGGACTATAAATACTCTGCAATAATTTTCCAGTTCATTTATATATTTTAAGATTCACTCAACATAGTTTAAGATTTTAAAGTTTAAGATTCACTCAACATAGTTGCTGGATAAGATTCACTCAACATAGTTGCTGGATAAAGTAAAATGTAGGCCCTGTGGATGTTGAACAAAGATTAATGCTCCTGAGCAGGAGTCTGTAACAGGGACTGGCTAACCACCCTATCAGACTGGTATACTTGGAAAATGAGTAGCTGGCCATTAATATTAATGTAATAGAAACAGAATCAACTGAAGTTGAATTCAGCATACCAATTAGATTTTCTGTGCTGTTACACTAACTACATATTTGTAAATTATAGCAAGCTGAAAAAAAATATTTAGTAAAACATGATAATCAATAAACAAAGAATTCTGCCTGACCATTCTCTGTAACCATTCCAGTACACTCGATTCTGGAGATTTTTGCCATGAAATCTAAGGAAGAAAAATGCAAAGATTCCAATGTAAACCTCATTGAGAAGAAAAGCTTAACTGAATTCCGAATGGAGAAAATAATGGTCTTGTATTCTTTGATTCTTCCTGATATTTTTTCTACTTTATGCCTCACCAGATTCAGTTTGGTTTGAAAGATTTAGGACCAGGATCATTGACTTACTTGAATTTTTTATTTTACTTCCAAAAATAGTTTTATTCATTTGCTTCTTGGTAAAAAAAGAGGATTTATTATCTTTTCCAAAAAAACTACTTTCTTGAACTAAGTTTTGCCAATTCCCAAATCCAGTATTATTTAAGGTAACTACTCTGATAGAATTTGTTGATTTAAATTCATCAAAAAGGTTTTAAAAAGATGCAGCAAATCAACTTTAAACTTTATAATTCCTTGAAACAACAATCTGATTTTGATGCCTTCAAATAGGTTTAATAAAAACAAGTATACAGTTAATCAGATGAAGCTCACCAAGTGGAATTTCTTTCAAAGACGTAGCCAACATATTTCCATTGCCTTCAAAAGGCTCTTAATAATAATCAAGAAACCTTGGAGTATGAAATATTTTAATTGGAAGAAAAGTTTTTGAAAAACTGACAAAAAACTATGTGGGAAAAAAAAATACAATGATAATAAAGATTTTTTTTTTAAATTTTATTTAAACTATAGTAATTTTATACTAACTAATAATTATACATGTAAATTTAAATTAAGGAACTATGATTAATAATATAGGATGATGTTGATTTATTCGAAAAAAAACTTGTATAATAATAGTTGATATATAATATCTAAAAATATAATTAATACCACTGCTGTAAATTCTGTGGAGGCTGAAAGAGGGTTTTCTGAGAAAAGTAATTTTTATGAAGTTAAAAATGTGGTAAATCTTCTAGTCATAAATTTGATGATAGGTCTTCCCGTGGATATTTCGGACTACAGCGATTTAGTCTGATTGCAGCTAAGAAACCATAACACAGCTGATGACACTAGAGTCAAAAAGCATCATACTTCTGAACAGGCTATATATATATATATATATATATATATATATATATATATTTTCAGATATGTAGTTAAGAAATTATTTATGATTGCAAAATTTGTGTGTATCACTTTTATATATAAAATCAAATAATAAAATGGAAAATAATATTTCCCCATATATATATATATATATATATATATATATATATATATATATATAAAAAAGAGATACACATTTTACAGGAATATGAATAATCTGGGAAATATATATATATAATATTTAATATTTTTTCATTTCAGATATGCAGTTAGGCATGAAATTATTTGTATGCCTGCAAAATTTGTGAAAAAGTATATATATATATATGTGTGTGTGTGTGTGTGTGTGTGTGCATGCATGCGTGTGTGTGTATGTTATCAAACTGTGAATAATACTTCAATGAAATGTAGTTTATTGCCCTATTCCTCATGTATTATTTCTTTTATGTATCATTTTGGGTCAGGAAAAAAAGCTTTCCTTTAATGAAACTATTTTTAATCTCAAATATTGCAGGGAGCAGGAATAATTTCAGGCTTAGATGTATAAAAATTGCTATGTGTGTCTTAAAGCTATAACGTCAAAGAGAAACAACATAGATGTTATTGAATGAGGAAAGAACAGCATTAGAAATTGTGAAAATGTTAAACAGAGACCATAGAAGAATAAAAAAAAAACAAACATGTGAACACTGGCAATATCAGGACAAAAAATAACATACTATTATGCTTAAAGTATGGAAGCAGTGAGATGCTTTTCATTTTTGTGATGTATATATTCTTTTGCTTGTAATAAAAGTAAATCCGACTCAAAAATGTCTTTGGCCTTTAATTCTCATTTAGACTTCTTAAAAAATAAAAATTAGCAAATGCTATCATTCAACAATAATATGAATTCAATGCTAGGGAAATTCAATATTATTTTCTTTTCAAGATGCAACATATTGTTTGATACTCTTTCTTTTGTATTGGACATCTGGCTCATTGCATTACCACTGATGACAGCTTCCTACCTGTCACACAAAAATGATATAAAAATGTAGTATTAGAGTAATAAAATGTATGATTTATCATACATGGAATACAAGTATTGTGACTAAGTATCAAGAACAAGCAAACTCCACAATTTGGTATGCCAAGTATAACATTTTTATAAATGCCACAAAAATCTTTGAAAAAATTACAGGGGTTATAAACAAGAAAATGAATTAACCAGTAAAAAACTCTTTTAAGAAAATTAAATTGCAAAAGTAAATAGAAAGAATTCAGAACATTTAGAACATCAGTGAAAGAGATGAATGCAACCAAATTATCACCTTTTATGCAAAATCTGAAACAAAAAATATTTCACTTGAATGAAGTAGTACATGAAAACTTGTCCCTCAGCAGTCAGTAATTTTTAGTGATGAAGAGAGCTGAACTGGATGGATAATGGTTGAGCTAGAGATAGAGTCCTTCATGGAAATAATCAACCAACACAACTTTAGAAGACAACAGTTGGAAAGCGATAAAAGGAGTCTTGCACGGGGCAGAGAGAGAGAAAAGGAGTCTTGCACGGGGCAGAGAGAGAGAAAAGGAGTCTTGCACGGGGCAGAGAGAGAGAAAAGGAGTCTTGCAGGGCAGAGAGAGAGAAAAGGAGTCTTGCACGGGGCAGAGAGAGAGAAAAGGAGTCTTGCACGGGGCAGAGAGAGAGAAAAGAAGTCTTGCACGGGGCAGAGAGAGAGAAAAGAAGTCTTGCACGGGGCAGAGAGAGAGAAAAGGAGTCTTGCACGGGGCAGAGAGAGAGAGAAAAGGAGTCTTGCACGGGGCAGAGAGAGAAAAAGGAGTCTTGCACGGGGCAGAGAGAGAGAAAAAGGAGTCTTGCACGGGCAGAGAGAGAGAAAAGGAGTCTTGCACGGGGCAGAGAGAGAAAAAAGGAGACTTGCACGGGCAGAGAGAGAGAAAAGGGGACTTGCACGGGGCAGAGAGAGAGAAAAGGGGACTTGCACGGGGCAGAGAGAGAGAAAAGGAGTCTTGCACGGGGCAGAGAGAGAGAAATAGATTTCAACAGCTATGGGTAACTCCAATGAAGAGCAGTTATCCAGAAGGCTGTTGACACCAACAGGCAATGGAACCAAGGAAAATGTAATTTCATTATATTGTAGTTTGTCTATTCTATTGTTGTATTACCCCAGCTATGAGTAAATAGTAGGACAGACTTTCTATAGCCTTGGGTGGTAACCAGTCTAAGAGAGGGAAGAAACTGTATTCAAAACTGTATGTAGCCATGGTGATGAAGATACTATGCAGCTAAGGAAAAGATCATTCACATTGACTCAATGATCCTAACTGCAGTCAATTGTTGCATCATATTCTCTCAAATCTAGTGTCAAATTCATGATATGGTATAAAGATAATGGATTTAAGTATTGACTAGACATTTGGTATTTGATGTGCTTTCTTATGTTATGCCTTGACTACATAAATTTAAGCATAGTACTAGATTGGCAACTAGGTCTCACCATTTTACTGTTGAACTATCTAGATATAAACATAAGTTCTACTCTAATAGTTTTTTTCTTGCTCATTTTGCTTGTGCAACTCCTGGTTTCTTTGTTTTGTCACCTACAATATTTTATCAGATTACCAAAATTACACAAAAATATCTTTAACTACTAAAGAGTAAATTTATTCAATAAAATCGCTATTGGCTTCAACCACAGCCTCCAGATGACTTTAGAATTTCCTGCAAATCTTCTGGATGGTCTTCTTGTTTAAGTTGGTGAATGCTGCCATAATCCTTGCCTTAAGTTCATTTTAGGTATTACAAGGAGTTTTGTTGGTCTCTCATTCAGCTGCGACACACATGTCAAGGAAGTTGCAGTCTGGGGTATTAGGTGACCATGACTGTGTTCTCCTGCTTGTGTGACATTATGCAGAGTCCTGTTGCTAGATATAAGGTCTTTCTCTTGACCAAAAGCCTCATTACCTCCTCAAGGCACTTAATGTAGACCCCTGTGTTGAGTCTGAGAAGATGAATGAATGTATAACGTCACCATCACTAGTGATCACTCCAAACACTGTGATGTTGACTAGATATATCATCCAAGTTTTTCCAAATTATCTGCACTGTCAATTGACTGACTGACACCCGAACACTCCGAAATGTTTGTATTGAAGCTTCCAGTGCAAATGCTAAACAGTACAATATGCCATTTCCAAATTTCTGGCAGAGTGAATTAATTGCATCTCGGTGCTCTTTTTCTCACAGCTGGTGCCCAAATATGACATATGCAGTCCACAAAATAAAAAACAAACATGTATCTGCAAAATTAAAAATATAAAATGATGACAATTTACCCATTGCACCAGGAATATATATATATATATATATATATATATATATATATATATATATCATCCAACGAGTCTTCAGTGGGGCTAGATGTCTGATTGCTTCAAGCTGGGATCGAAAGCAAACTGATTTGGAATCAGTCAGAGATCCTACCCCTAAGTCATCATTGCATGGCAGAGAGAAAGGGAAATTTTAATGTTTTCTATACAAAATATGCTGGTGACCTGGAGAGCTCAATTCAGTTGAAGAGCAATGCATTAATAGCAGTAGGAGCCACTGTTTTTAAAATAATCTTTTCTAAAGAGAACTCAACCGGATTTCTCAAGAGTATATATATTGTCATCTACAGACAGACTGTTTTGCTGTATCACAGCTCTTCAGTGTGGCTAGATGCCTGATTGCTTCAAGCTGGGATCAAAACCCAACCTATATATATATATATATATATATATATATATATATATATTTGTTTGTATTTCTCAGATGAAACTTTGGCATGATTAATTTGTGTTTTAATTAGTTTTCTTTCTTTTATTTTTGTGACTTTTATTTCATCATTCAAGTGTGTTTTTCACATTTTACAACCATTAAGCAAGCAGTACAGATTAGAAATAAATGACTTCCTCATCAGACTGGAACTTGCATTAAATATAGAAAAGGAACACAGCAAGAAAGGTACAAGTGCATAGTCTGCATTGAATATTTTTTGCAAAATAATTATTAATATAAATGGGTTGTCATGTTAGCTTCCTTGTAATTTTCTGATGCAAAAACCAATTTAAATTTGAATCAAGCTCATTTCACAAAGATAAAACAGTATCAAGTAAGATGAAAATAAATGAATGTAATAAATGTATTAGGACACTGAAAATCTCAAAATAATACACTTAAATTTAAAAAAAATTATTTTACCAATTATTCAATGATCATCTTAAACTCAGAATCAGTGTAAATTTTACAAGTGTCTTTATCTCTTCTATAAACATGTTATTTTTCTCTGGTTAAATTTACAAATACTCACATGTTGGTAAATCAGTTGGGGAAGATAGGAAATTCATCTTTCTCAAACTCTACTTGATTTTGAGAATATTGCTTACCCACAATTCCTGCCCTGGATTTTTTTCTTTCTTTATTGATTTCCATTTGAGACTGACTGCATCAGTCAAATTGATGTCTCTTCCAAACTCATCTGACAAACATTTCTTTAGTCAATAAGATCTTTTTTTTTTTCCTGCTCATAGAATTCTTCTTATTAAAAGAAATTCAGTTGAGTGTTATCTTTTTGTGCTATGAGTAAAGAGACTTAAATCATTGGTCAGCTAACCAGAAATACACAATTGAAATGTTAGAGAGAGAAATTAAAAATTCTTTTTTTAAAATCCCATTGATTTTCTTTAGAAATAGTTTAAGTTGTTTATAAAAATCCAATGCCATCAAAACTTTGGAATGTGCTATCTCCTCACTTTCTGTTTCTCTCTATCTACCTCCTACGTGTTCCCTCTCACTACTGTGTTCCCTCTCTCTCTAAATCCTCCGCGTTCCCTCCCCCTCTCTCTAAATCCTGTGCATTCCCTCTCTCTCCCTAAATCCTGTGCATTCCCTCTCTCTCTCTCTACCTCCTCTGTGTTTCCTCTCTCTCTCTCTACCTCCTCTGTGTTTCCTCTCTCTCTCTCCTACCTGTGTTTCCTCTCTCTCTAACTACCTCCTCTGTGTTCCCACTCACGCACTCTCTCTGCGTTCCCACTCACGCACTCTCTCTGCGTTCACACTCACGCACTCTCTCTGCGTTCACACTCACTGCCTCTCTCTGCGTTCACACTCCACAAGCACTCTCTCTGCGTTCACACTCACGCACTCTCTCTGCGTTCACACTCACGCACTCTCTCTGCGTTCACACTCACGCACTCTCTCTGCGTTCACACTCACGCACTCTCTCTGCGTTCACACTCACGCACTCTCTCTGCGTTCACACTCACGCACTCTCATGCACTCTGTGTTCCTCGCACTCTCTCTCTCTCTCTGCCCTGTGCGTTCCTTGCACTCTCTCTTTTTCATAGAGACAGTATTTTGCAAACCATGACTAACCATCTTTGTACAGCTTTTATGTGACCGAGTGATAGAGTTTTGACTTTAGAATTGTCCTTCCATCCTGATTGCTAACTATGGCTAGAGAGCCCTGTCTATCCTGCTATTTAACCCATAACTGGGAGCAGGAATGAAAGAAACAAAGATACTTATAAAAAAATTAATGTCAAGTTCTGTTTTATGGATAATATTTGTTACACAGTATAGGGACTGAACTGACATTCTCTTGGCTATAAAAAAACTAATGCTTTGTTGGGTTAACCTGCCTCCCCTGCTGGTTCATAATGGAACTGTCCATATAGCTCAATTTAAGCTAGTTGTTTTTCTCTAGTAAAAGACGAACACTTACAGTTGCCTGGTGAATTCTTACCAAAGTAATTCAGAAGTGAACAGACTTTCTGTTGCCTGGATAATGTCCCTAAGATAATTTAGCAAATAATGTTTGATAATGCTTCATTTAATAAAAATCATAAAGAATAATAATGATTATAAACATGATAAACAGCCGAGATTTCCAGGAGACATAAAGAGGAAAGAGGCCTTGGAGAATTTGACACTCACAGTACATACTGAAGCCAAAAGGGACACCAGAAGGCAGCTGCCTACTTGACATGCTTGTGTAAATGAATGGTTGAACAGTTGATGGAAAGAATAGCAAAGGGCAGATGTTGTTAAGAGCTATACAAGGTAGGATGTAGATGGCTATGATCACCCATGTCTTTTAGTTGCTATTCTGAAGTAGGTTTTTACTCGTGAGCTGAAACCGTAGAGTTAAAGGGTGGGCTACACTTTATGCTGATTGAATACAGTTATTTCTTTTCTTTAAAAGAAAAAAAAAAATGATGTTTAATCTTACTTGTTTGTTATGACAATCGGAATCATGGCTTTAGCAGCCAGAATTTCATGTTATAGCTTTTAAATTGTACAAGAGCTAAACAATCTTGGCAATGTGGATAAGTGTGAAGATTGCAGATATAAACATAAGATGGACAAGGGCGTCACAGGAAGTGGCAGAAAATGAGGAGAAAGGGGAAATGACAGAAGCCTGTTCTACGAAAAAGAAAACAGATCAAAATGATGGATAAGTAGGCAGAGAAATGCCATCAGGAGAACAAACTGAATGCCCAAGATAAATTCCATCATCAACACAGATTCTTAAATGTGGATGGTTTGTTGAAGAATCGGCACAAATAGAATCAAGGAATCAATAGTGTATCAGGTGAATTCAGTGAAGAGAAAACAGCAATGGAACGAGGTATGGAATTTTTGTAAAAACACAATCTCCCAATTTATTTTTGTTTTGTAGTCATTTTAAATTCCATAGATTGCAGTGTTTACAGTAAACTGAAGTTTATTTAAGATCTGTGGCAACCTTGTACATTTAATGATAATTAGCTATTTTATGCTGATTTAAATTAATTTATGAAATCTCGATCTATAAAAGGCAGGATGTATGTGTATATGTGTGTGTGTGTGTGTGTGTGTAATGAATGCATGGTCGCAATTTTCGACGGATCTGCACCAAAATTTACATGCACAAAGTTAGCGAGAAGGCCAAGACCAATTTTGCATTTCCCAACTCCCATCGATAGTGGAAATAATCAATTTTTTCATGCTTCTACGGCACTTTTCATGTAGTTTGCAGCCATTTTCTACAGGCCAGAGTGAGAGCCAATAGCTGGCTGCCACAAATAGGCAGGAAGATTCTATTGGCCAGCTTGAGAGCCAACAGCTGACTGACATGAATGTTAAATAGCATGCTAAAATAATCAATAGCTGCATTCGTCACAAGTGGGAAAAATTTAAATCTGCATGGCACTTTACTCCAATTGGCTCATTCACTTGCTTAAACTCAGCGTTGATTCCGATTCCGCAGAACTGGGTTGGGTGTGAAAAAGTATTTGTTGTTAACATTCTTTTTTCATTTGGTTTTTCCAGTTACGAGTCCTTTTTAAAGCTGATCATTTTGTGTTCCTTTTGTTTAGTTCTTTTTTCGTAACAGATTTAATGTTTAGTATAGAATTTAGAAAAAATACGCAGTGTGAGATAGGCAAGAATTAAGGTATGTAGCAACATCAGCATGGCAAAGGGCACTCCTTTAAAGGCAAGGAAGGGCAAAAATATTTTAAGTCAAGTGATAGTGATTGCTGTATGAGTCGTATGATTTTTGAATCAAGCACGGGCAATGCCAGGCCATGCTGCTAGTATATCAAATGATAGATAACGTTTAGCACTGTAATGCCCAACATTCGCAAAATGGTGCAGGGAGCATTAACGGATTACAAATAAAAAGTTCTAATTAATTGTTTTATTTTAATTTTTAAAACCTCTAATACTAGTTTTTTTTGAGTTTTTTTCTTTTTAATCAATTCACCCCTAGCAAGGCAATAATATCATTAACGTGCAAGAGGCTATTGGGGGTGAAAGAAAATGAAAATCTTTAAAAGGGACTGGAAAGACAATCCTGAACAGGGAAAAAAGGGATAAATCTTTAC